AGAACAAAGGGTCTTACTATATAACGTGAATATTGTCATGGTTATACAACAGTCATTGACCTCATTTTAACACCTTGCAAAAGTTAGGGGACCACAACACTCAGGGTCCACCTTGGAACTGTGTCTGTCCTGTCTGCTGTTACCCCAGCACCTCGCGGGGTGCTGGCACTAAGTGGGTACTTGGTGGATACCAGGCGAATAAACCGGGGAGCCTGTACTGTGGGTTTCGCTTTTCAGGGAGTACAGCCTCAAACTCTCTGCAGTCACGGACTGGCTGAGGCCAGGGGAGGGACCTTGGCTATGAGCAATGATACTGATCCTGCGTCACCTTCCAGGTCGGCCGGGAGATGGCACGGCCCGCTGACCACCCTTGAATTGCAGAGGGCAGGCCAGGGTCGCCTTCCCAATTTGGCCCTCAGTCTTCAGGAAGAATACTGGAAGGCCACCTCTGTGTAACCATGCCCTAAGGATGCCCTCACATGACACTTTGCTGGCTAAAAACAAGGGCCAATTTTCTTAATTAATTTAAAATAAAGTGTAACAGTTTCCTTTACAGGACTCCATAGAACAAATTTCTTTTGCTTTACATAAGAAACATGTGACCTGAAAACATTTCATTTGTCTTAAATAGGCCTTCATAAAAAAATTTTTAAAAAAAAGGAGAGAGAAGAAGGAAGAAAGAAAAAGAAGAAAAAAAGAGGAAGAAAGAAAGAGAAGAAGGAATTAGAAGAAAGAAAGAAAGAAAGAAAGAAAGAAAGAAAGAAAGAAAGAAAGAAAGAAAGAGAGAAAGAAAGAAAGAAAGGAGGAAGAAAGAGAGAGAGAGGTGCCCTACCACCCACCCTCGGGGGTATTGGTTTCCAGCACCCGACGGGACACTTGGCAATGTCTGGAGACCCTTCTGACTGCCACGCCGTGAGGGGGCGCTCTGGCATCTAGCTGGTAGAGGGTGGGAGGTCAGGCCTCGCTGACAAAGAGTGACCCAGCCACTCACATCAATAGCGCCGGTGGAGAAGCCTTCCCTGGGCGGCTCGAAAGTGCATCTCTCGGATAAATGACGTGGGCCTCTGGGGGCCGGCCCTCCACAGACCCAGTTTCTCATCTGCCTTGGCATCAAGCCCGCGGCTTACACTGAGCGACTCTGCGGAAGGCCTCCTGCCGGGGCTGGGAGACTGTACCTGGGCCTTAGTCTGTCCAAGCTGCTGTAACAAAGCAGGGTGGGCTGTCCACGACAGAAGTCTATTTCCCACAGTTCTGAGGGCTGCCGGGAAGCCCAAGATCAAAGCACCAACAGATCAGTGAGGGCCCATTTCCTGGTTCATAGGTGGCACTTTCTCTGTGTCCTCTCACAGTGAAAGGGGTGAGGGGTCTCTCAGGTGCTTCTTTTTAAGGACACTAAGCCCATCTATGAGAGCTCTGTCCTCAAGACCTAGTCACCTCATACAGGCCCCACCTCTTAATACCATCACCTTGGGAGTGAGGATTTCAACATATGAATTTCTCCGACACAAACATCCAGACTGTAGCCATCTGTTATAAGACTGGTGTTGAGGCTGTTGCCTGGGAAACCTTCCCTTCCTTTCAGAGATCCCAGACCTCTGTGTCAGAAAAGGCTGAGCTGCTTCTGGATCTATTTTAACCTGTGGAGTTTGTGAATCTTGAAACAGGCAGCTTTCCCTCTTCACCTTGCCTGGCAGGAAGCTCAGAGTCCAGTTTGCAGCCCACTGGAGAACTGTGGAGGCCCAACCAGAAAACATTTCTGTGTATTATCCTCCTGGCTCTTTGTACTGTTTGTCCCTGTGTTGTTTTCTCTCCGATCTATTTTTATCCTATTGTATTTTTTGTAAGCTGCCTTCAATCCTTTTTGGAACAAAGGAGAGCAGAATTGGAAAACAAAATTCAACAAAGCCCTGTGGCCTTGACAAGTTTTTTTTGTTTTTTTTTTTTAACGTGTCAAGTGTCATGTCAGGGTTGGATTCTTGCTGGGGAAGGCAGCTACCTTTGTCCCCTCCTGTCCCTTCCTGGGAGTTTCCCTCTTGGAGAGTGTGGCTTAGTTGGGGAGAGCAACAGGTTTGAGAGGCGAAACCACCAGCGTTTGCCTGCTCCCTCCCTCAGGAGGGCCTTTCCAGTCTCCCATCTGTCTGGTGGCAGGAAGCCAGGGGCCCAGAGGAGGTTGCAGAGGGGACGTGGACAGATCGGCACTCCCATTTCTATCCCTTTCCTCTCCAGGATCTTGACTCAGGGCCTTCAGGGCCTAGGGATGAACTGTGTGCAGTGGGCGTGCCAGGGAGGGCACCTACCCGAATGTGGAGAGTGGGGGCACCTGGGGAGCCTGAGGGGAGGGTTGAGGTGGGCCGAGGAGGGTGAGGAATATGGGGCGCACCAGGACAGCCTGCTTCCCCGCCCCGCCCCGCCCCACTCTGGTTCTGGCATCGTCCTGCACCCCGGCACCGACCACACTCTCAGCTCTCTGAGCAGCTGCATGAGCTCTTCGTCAGCCTCCGGCCTGCCCCCGATGCCAGGCCAGGAGCCAAAGTCATCCCGGCGGATTCATGATCTGTGCGCTGCCCCATGTGGGGACTGTGCTCAGTCCCTTGTTCTCACAGCCTCGCTCTCCCTCTAAAATGCAGAGGGTAGGTGGGCGTGTGACCAGACCCTGAGCTTTGAGCATTCTTAGAATCTCCACTCCCTGTGTCCAGACATCCTGTATTCCTGTTGTCCACCCTCTGCTGGACAGGGGTGTGCCTCGTGGACAGAGGAGGGGATGGCTGTGTGTGTGATGGGGTCGGAGGTGAACACCGTGCAGGACCAGCAGGGCCAACGGGAATGCAGGCCCAGGCTGCGGGCTTGAGAGGCGAGTGCCAAACTCAGCCCTGGTCCTGCCCAGCAGACAAGAGACCAGCTGGGTGAGCCTGCTGAGGTCAGGGTCCTTGTGCTCCCTGTGGGCAGGGCTGGCCAGGCCTCTGGACGAGGTGGAGCAGCAGGGTCTCGCCCCACAGCAGTAGTACTCCCCTTCCCTCGGGCATGCATCCCCGTGGGAGACAGGCACACCACCTGCCAGGCTCCCAGCTGGGCCTCTGCACTGCCCTTCCCAGCCAGGCCACTGGCCCATCCTGGTCCCAAAGTGCAAACCATCAGGTCAGGAGAGAGAGCCGAGTGGTTGTGAGAAAGGACCTGGGTGGGGGCCATGCCTGGCCGGCGTCCCAGCCCCTCCCTCGCTGGCCCTGGGCGGAAATGGGAGTGACAGGAGCAGCACCACCCTAGAGCTGTCGGAACTGAATGAGGCCATGCAGAGAACCGTGCCCGGCATGTGGCCGTCATTACCGCTCTCACTCACAGCCCCCATCACACTCAGAGGCCTGTGTTCGCTAAATATCAGCAGAGCCCCTCGGGGGTGGGGGGTGTGGGAGAGATGGCTGGATGAGGGCAGGGCTGGCCTGGCGGGGCAGGAAGCAGCTGAGATGCCAGCTCACTCCCAGGCCCATTGGGAAAGCACTGGCTGAGGTCGGAATTGGAGGTACTGGGTGGCCATCCGGACGGGCTGTGCTTCGAGCTATTCCAGGGGAAAGGGGCCCCACAGAGCCCCACTCCAGCGCCACCAGGGAAGCACTGGTTCTGTCTGTAAGAGGGTTCGAGCTCACCAGCTCAGCTGCTGGTGGAGTTGAAAACACTGAGCTAGGCCTGCTTTTAGGGATGGCAAGTCTGAACGTGCCCAGAGACAGAAAGATTTGCCACCTGGCGAATCTCGACAGAGCCATGCCCAGGGCTCCAGGGGGCCTGCGAGGCCTGGTTAGCCTGTTCTCATCCAGGGGGTCTGCGAGCCCTCAGCCAACCACGGGCTCCAGCAGATGAAGCCACCTCTGTGCAGGCCCCTGGGTCTCCCTGTGTGCCTAAAACCTGGATCCCAGAGCTGGATGCTGGCTCCTTCCGAGACCCAGGGCCCCTTGTTAGTGGGGGTGGGTGGTTTACACCGAGTCTGGGAGGGACAGCCCCTCCATCTGCCTGGCCTTACCTCCCCTGTGTGGTCCCTCCTCTCTCCATGGCCCTGGAGTTGGCTGGCAGCACGCAGCACGCAGGGACCCTGTCCCCCGCTTGGACCTCACCCCTTCTCCCCTCAGGGCCACGGCACTGCCCGGCATTTAACTCTGCTCAGCCAGGTCCCTCATTAGCTCCAATGGGCCTGTCTGGGGCAGCAGGCCCTGGGTGACGTTTTAATTATGCCTCTAGCTGCTTCCCAGGGAGCGCTGAGTGGTGTGTCCACATTTCTCTGTGGATGCTCAGGAAGGGGCAGTTCCCACCAGGAACTCAGCCGCATTGGGATCCCCAGCAGAGCCAGGCCTGGCCAGGTCCACTCCCGGGCCGAGGGGTCACCAGCCTGGGACTGACCCAGCCTTGTCTCCTGAGGTTACCCAGGAGCAATGGTGGGGAAAGGGCCTCTGGGGCACATTTCTGCATCTGGAAAAGAGCGCCCCTGAGAGTCCCCCTCCCCGAGAACAAGGCTGAACCCAGAGCCTGCCACCTATGAGCATCTTCTCCGGGTTGGGCAGTAAAGGGGAGGGTCAGAAGGGGTGGTCCCCTGCCCGGACCCCAGGAGCTGAGGGTAGAAGCTTCGATGCCAGCCAGCCACGTCCTGGCAGCACCAGGGGCTTAGAACAGAGCCTCCTGGTCTAACAGTCCCGTGCCGCACCCGCCCTGTGTGTGTCAGGGTTCCCGTTTTACCGAGAATGGGCTGCTAAGTGACCAAGTGCCCAAGGGCCCCGACTGGTAATGTGGCAGTGGCCCCCAGGTCCCAGTGCCCTGAGGACCTCCCAGGCAGAGGAGCCCATGGGGCCTTGGTCATTGAAGAGGCTCTGGATGAGTGCAGGATGGGGAGGGAGGGGCCTAAAGGACAGAGAGGAGCTCTCTGAGGCCCCCAGAGCTTCAGGGCCGGGCTGGCCCCAGCACCCCATTCCATACCCCCTCCCTGGAGCAATCCTCCCCCAAAGTGGAGACAGACACTGTTGTGCTATAGGGTCTTTTTAATGTTTCCTCACTGTTTTAACAATACCATGAAAAAAATAATACAGTTTAGGATCTGGAACTGACCAGGTGGGTCTCAAGGGCAGCCGGCAGGGCTTCTGAGCCCTCCCCTGCAGGAAAACAGGAGCGCCGCAGGCTGGGCTCAGGAACCAAGTGGTGTCTGAGTCAGGACCTGGCAAGAAAGGGGCGTGGAGCCCGCGCCATGGCCCCTGCTCCTGTGCCCACCTGTCCCCCCTCCTCTGCTGGCTACCCAGAGACGGGAGGCACTCAGCCTGTTCCGGGCAGTCACCCCCGGACTCCTGCTCCAACTCCTCCTCTATCCTTGGGGTAGGGTTACAGGAAGTGGGGGAATCTTGAATTTCAGAACACAACAAAGGCTTTCTGAGCATAAGTGTGTTCCAAATATTGCGTGGGACATACTCGTATTAAGAAGGATCTCTGTCTACCTAAACCTCGACTCTGCATTCGGTTTGTTTTGTTTCGCGTCTCCTTAAATGAGGCAACCACGCCCTCAGGGCCCTGGCCTCAGACATAGGGGAGGGAATGACAGGGTCCAAACGCAGCTAGGTACCCCCCATAGAAATAACCTATTATTAAAAAAAAAATCATTTTCCAAGAATTTTCTATGCTGGCCTCCTCTAGCTGTTAATAGCCAGGGGCGGGGCAGGTGGGCACGACACACACAGATACCCGCTGGCGTGGTCCTACTCTGGAAGCCCTACTCCGGAAGTCTGGAAGTTCTAGCTCAAGGTAAGCTGGTTTCTTTGCCACTGGACAGCGCCAGACTCTAGAATGCTAATAGTCACTGCAGATTTTCCCGGGGGAGACTTTTCTAGAAGGATCTGTCTCTCCCGGTGGCAGATCTAGTTAACACTGCTCCTGATACTGAGCTATAAGGATTTCAGCTTAATAATAAAGAACGAACGAGCCCGCAGGGACTGAGCAAGCCCCAGCCCTGGTTCTAGTGTCATCTCGCAAGGGCGCTGTCTTGACCGTGCAGGGTGCCCGGGGACAGCCCTTCCGTCCAGTCCTGTTCTTTTCCCCCGCAGAGGCTGTGTTTAGTGTGTTCAGCTCGGTTCCGGCTGGCCACCTGCTCCGCCTCACTCCAGGGGCATCAGACTGGAGGTGCAGGAGCCAGAGGGAAGGCAGGAGGGCCTCGGCTGTGCGACCCCTTCCTGCCGCACGCATGTCCCAGCAGCCGCCAGCAGTCACAGCAGAAACCCCAGCAGGGAAAGGGCGAGCCACTGTCCAGCCTCGGAGCCGCGGTCCTCCAGGCCGCCCTCCTGCTGCATGCCGCAGGAACTCAGGGTGACAGTGGCATCCATCTGGGCCGGGGTGGAGGACCAGGAGGCCGGGGAGGAGACTGATCCCTGTTGTCAGAGTACAGCCACGGGAGGCAGGGGTATGTGAAGTCAGGCATCTGTGCCAGCCTTCCTGGTCCTCCAAGGGCCCCCAGGCTCGGCCATGAGGTCCAGGGTCTGTGACCCACATGAAGCCAGGCTCCCGACTGGCCCTGCACAATAAGGTCAAAGGTCAAAACAGGGCGAGGGCAGGGTGAGGATGCTGCCAAGAGCTCCAGTGCTACCCGCTGCCGCCTCACACACGGATCTCATCCTCCTCCTCCTCGTCCATGAAGGAGAACTCCTTGTCGGGCTGCCTGGAGCCAGCGGCCCGGGCCCCGTTGGGCCCCTGGAAAGCAGGGCTGCGCTCCTCCAGGACGCCCGAGGTGCAGCTGGACAGAGAGCTGCTGTCCCGCGTGGTGTGGCTGCCCATGCTGCGGGCCGAGCCTGGGCTGGGGGCTGCTGCCGCCCACCCCTCATCTTCCAGAGCGTGGGAGGCCAGTGCAGACGAGTCCGGGCCAGCCTTGCTTTCCTGCCTGGCCCGCGGAGGGGCTGCTGCGGCACAAGGGGGAGCCAGGGCTGGACCGCTGGGGCCCTCGTCGCCACCCTCCTCCTGGGGGTCCCACTCTTCCTTGTCCATGATGCTGAGGACGTCGCCCAGCATGGAGGGCCCCAGATCGATGTGGAAGGACATGATGGACTCAGCGTGCTTCAGCCCGTGGCTGGCCTTGGGCACAACAGGCAGATCCGTCAGGTCCCCAAAGGCCTGCTCGTCCAGGAGGGGGTCGGGGACGTAGGGGCCGGCTGCCCCATTCCGCCGAGCCACCCCCTCCCCCACGCCCGCCTCCTCTTGGCTGCCCTCCTCACCATTGGCCTTCTTCACTGGGCTGGAGGACAGGCTCTTGGGCAGCTGGCTGGAGCCCCTCTCCGTAGCCTCCTTCTCATTAAGCTGGGGCAGGGACATGGCGTTCTTGACGAACAGGGCAGAGTCCCGCAGGGAGCCCAGCATATCCCTCTGCTCCCGGTCCCCTCTGGTCACAGACTGTGACCGCTTGCTGCCCCGGAACTTCCGGGACAGGAGGCTGCGTTTGGATGAGGAGGAGGAGGCCTGTTCATCCAGGGACTCACCGTCGGGCTCGCCAGCTTTGCTGTTGAGGAAGGAGGTGTCCCCGAAGGCATCCCCAGCCCGGCCCACGTGCATGGTATGGCGGAAGTCGCCTAGCGGTGCGCTGATCATCTCGGCTGTGAGGTCCACGCGGGAGCGGCGCTTGGAGTGCACCGAGCTGGACACTAGCTGCTTGAGGATCGGCATCTTGCTGGCTAGGAGGGGACGGGGCCCTCCCCGGGCAGCTGACAGGTCCGGGCTCAGATCTGAAGTCCAAGTCTAGCAGGCAGGGGCAGGCGATGACAAACAGATCACTGGGCTGCAAGCAGAGAGCAGGAGACAAGGGTCACACGGGGTGGACGTGTGCAGCGCCACCGGCCCAGCGGCTGTCATTTATACCCACTTCTACAAAATGCAACAAGCCAGCAACCCACTCCGCAACGGGCCGTGTGCTCACTCCCAGGCTCTCCGGGCGGAGGAGTGATGATGCAAATCTGGGTAGTGTCCCAGCGGCCACAGACACTGTCCCTGACACCAAAAGCTTTCATGCACAGGACAGTCCCTCCCCCCCACCCACACAGGACGGTCGGATGTGGGAGGCGGCCATCTAGGTGACAGACTCAGCCCACGAGTTGACTCCTGAGAAGAGCCAGTCTGGAGACATGCAGATTCTTCCTGCTGTCTAAGCTCGGTCCCTGTGGAGTTAGTGACACCTCAACCTGAGTCACTGTCCTCAGAGAGAAGGGAGCAGACAGGCAGGGCCCAGGGAGCCAGCAAGGCTGCTCGGTACCCCACACGCTGGGCGGTATGGCTCCGTCTCAATCAGAACTGGGGCGGGGCACCCACAGAACTGGCTCCCCGGCCTTCCAGTCTTCACAGGTGTCCCATAAATGAGGAACCTGCCTGCACCATCTCCACTGTGGGGCCCCACGCTGTTGGCTGGGCTCTGCCTTCTGCTGGCTCAGGGAGATCCAGGCTGGGAAATGTCTCCGTTTCTCATCACCAGGGGCAGAGAGGGGCAGGGACTAGACCGGAACTGGCCTAGCCCAGGAGCTGCAGGCCCGGGCCGATGTACCAGGACCCAGAGAACAGCAGGAGCAGAGCTTGGAGGGCCCCAGCACCACCTGCAGAGCTCCGGGAGGGCCACACTGAAGTTCAGCGCTGGGGTCCAAGCTGCCCCGCTCTCTCTCCAGAACTGGCCCAAAGTTAGCCCTGCCGTGTAGACGCTGGGCAAGGTGGAGAGATGTTTGTGGGGACTTAACAGAGGACAGGGTGAGAGGTGGCACTAGGCCACCAGGGCGTCCTCCCTCCCGTCCTGCTGACAGCGTGCTTCTTCCAGGGACGCTCATTCCAGCTCCCTCCCCAGTGCAGCAGCCTCCTTCCCTGCAGCGAAGTTCTGGGGCCCTTTCCTCACCCAGCTTTTGCCCCCAGCTCAGCCACTGCACCCACAGTGGCCAACATGGGCCTCACAGGTCTCCCTGTTCCTCTGTCCCTCTCCAGGCTACAGTGACCCCCCTACCAGTGCAAAAGCCTCGATCCAGTGGTGAGACCCTGCTTCCCTCGCAGCCATGGCGTGCGCCACTGCCCTCCCTGGCGCTCCGCTCCAGCCGCAGCCCAGCACTGAGCGCCAGGACTCCCAGTGGCGACACCCAAGGCCTGGCAGCCCCAGCTCCCTTCAGGGCTCAGCGGGGACACTACTGCTCCCGGGAACCCTCCCTCAGCCAGGGCGCAGCCACCCTGCCACCGGCCCCCAGGAGACTTTGGATGTCCCTTCCCTTGGTGGTCACCAGCTACTTTGTTCTAACCCTGTTGGTCGGATTGCAATCTTCCCACTGGGCTCTGAGCTTCTAGAGGGTTCCAGTGGGTCTGTTCACCTCTGAATCCTTTCCGGTGGCGTGCGCCACTCACCCGATCCTCAGATGCCCACACCTCCCTCTGCCCTCCCTGAGCCCTCGGTCTCTCCCACCCTGCTCTCACGCCAGCCCACAGCTCAGCCCCAGGGCTCTGCCCTCTCCCCTGCCCCCACCTCTCTCCTTTCCCACCAAACAGCTGCTGCTGCCGCCCCGCCGGGTGGCCGCCCCCCCACACCCAGCACACGTCCCCTCTCCTCGAGCTCAGTCAGTCACGCAGCAAACCAAGTTCCTGTTGGCTGATGGTGGACGCCAGGCACCAGCTCGGACCAGCCATGTAGGTGACCTGAGCCCGCTCACAGCCAGCAGTCAGCTCATAGCCAGGTGAGGACTCTTCTGGAAGACTTTGAGATGACCCTCTGTGATTGGTCAGCTCTCTCCCCACCAAACCCGAGGACAGTGAGGACAGTGAAGTGCCCAAACCCTACCTGAATCTCCCCCAGCTCTGCCCTCCTGCTCTCCCTCAGCACTCTGCAAACAGTAAATACTTAGCGGCCTCCTGGCTGATAAGGCCTCTGTCAGAGCTCCCCCACTGTCGTCTTCTCCCACAAAACCAGCCAGGACATATGCAAACGAGCGGGCGTGGCTGTGACAACGCTATTTACAGGGCACACCTAGGGGAGCTGCCAATGTGGCCCAGACTCTTCCTCCAGAAAGTTCTCACGTTACCTCACCTCCTGCGTCTCTGCCATTTCACTCTTCCTGTGTAATAAGGCAGTGAGCCTTAAATACACACACACATGCATGTACACGTGCGTGCACACACACACACACACAACCTTAATTTCGAAAAGAGGGGAGGCTGGGTTCAGCCCACAGGCAATATCCTGCTGACCCCGAAACACCATGGAACCCTCTGGGCCAGCCGCAGGCACCCGGACTAAACCTTGGGGAAAACCGTCTTGGGATAATGAAGAGAAAGGGATGGCAGGGAATGCCTGTTACTGTCACAGAAGGAAATCCAACCAGGTTTCGGCCCCAGCCTTGGTACCAGCACACTGCCCAGCTCCTGCTGCACCTGCCTGGGCTGGCAGCGAGGTGGGGGTGGTTCGGCCTTGTCTTTTACCTGCCTGCAGCCCAGTCCAGCCCCCGGCTCCACCCACAGAACCCTGACATCTCAGAGAGCCAGGAGGGACAATGGTGCAATGGGTTCATTTCAGGGATGAGAAAACAGGCTTACTGATGCAAAATGACATATCCAGGTTTATGCCCCAAAGGACGGAACTGGGATAGAAGCAGGGTCTCCAGGCCCTTCTCCGGCCTTTGGTGGGGAATGCCAGTGGTCAGTTCCCATCAGCAAAAGAGGCCTCCTTGCCAGGGGAGTCCAGAGAAAGGAGGAGCCTGGCTGTTGCCTCCAGAAAGTTCTTACGTAATGCTAGAGCAGATTCCCACACTGCTGAGCCTCTGGGCTAGGTCATTTTTTGTTGGGGAGTGGGGCCAACCTGTGCATTGCAGGTGGTTAGCAGCACCCCTGGGCTCTACCACGAGATGCTGGTAGCATCCATCCCCCATTCTCGACAACCCGAACTGTCTCAAGACACCGCTCAGTGACCCCTGGGAGGCAAAACTGCCCCAGATTTAAGAACCGCTGCCCTAGAGTAAAACAGGCATGGGAGTATACGGTCTACACTGTTCACCAGACAGCAACTACAACAGAACGAGGGCAGGGAGGGGACGTCGAGGGTGGGAATCGGGCAGCCGCAGTGGTGCAGCTGGAGCACAACATCCCTCTATGCTGAAGCCACATGGGAAGGTCCTGGGCTGGCACCCCGAGGCCCCCCTGTGCCTGCTGGGGAGGGGGAGGCATGCACGCATCCGTGGTCCTGGCTGGCTGGGCCTGGGGTGGGGTACAGTGTGAAGACCCTACAGAGATGCCTGCCTGTCTCCCCACACCTCCGCCACATAAGAAAAAAACAAACTTAAAAAAGAGACAGAATTGGTGGTAGGTCCTGTCTCGGTCCCGGACAAAGAAGGGAATTAGCTCAAGCCGTGAACCTCCAGAGTGAACCTCCGGGGGTGTTTTTTTTTTCAGGCACTGCGGTTTCCCCATCTTAAGTGCTCATTAGAGAGAAAAGGAAAGGCAACCACAGGCCCAGCCACCCAGGGCTCCCAGAGATGCGGCAGACCGCCGTAGCCACAGCCGTAGCCACACGGAGGGACCAAGCACCCCAGCCATGATAGCTGTGGGGGCAGGGGCTCCCACCATCCCATCAGCTGCACGGCCCCCAGTACACAGTTGCAGGAAGGGCTGTACTGGAGGGAAGAGGGGACAGTGGGCACACTTAGGTAACATCCACATGTGGCATTGCCACATTCACGTGTACCGAACCTAGGCCAGGCCCGGGGCCTCCAAGATCCTGCCCAGGCCCTCCTCGCCCCGAAAGACAGTGACAGTTCTGCCCATTGCAATCTGCTTCCTGTGGTCTGTGCCCTGCGGGGTAGGAACGAGGCCTTGTGGCTTGTGGAGAACCATCTTTAATATCCACCAGGGAAGGATCTGACAGTAGAAAGCCGGGGCCTAGAAGCCACCCCTCTGTCCCACTGGCCCAGCACGGAGGGGCTGCAGGGCCCCGCTGTTCAGGCTGGGGGTGAGGCCAGGTCCCGGGGTCTTAGAGTGAGAGCTAGGACCAGACAGGCCAAGAGACCCCTTTGAGCCCCAGTGAGGAATGCCCTGGGTCCTGAGTGACCTGGATTTACTCCCAGCTTCTGACAGAGATGGAGAGGACGGGGGAGGAGCGGGACACGGAGTTTAAGAAAGCAGGCAGCAGCCATGTGTCCACCCCAGGAGGGGGTCAGGCGCCCGGGAACTGTGGCTTTGGGAGGGGTGTTGCTAAGCATCTGTGACTCAGCTCTGGGGAAGTAGCTAAAAAAGACTGCCGGGTGATGGGCAGCCACTCCCCAGAGCCTGGCCTGGCCGGGACACCCCCGGCCCCACCCAGAAGCCACCTCCCACTCCTCCAGCAGCTCTCCCTAGCTCTCCTGAGCCCCTGGAGGGCCCTGAGCCTCACTGACCAAGGAACATTTTTTTACAGTTGGAGCAATGGGCCCTTCCAGAAGAGCCAGGCCCCGGTAAGGTTGACACCAACCCTACCCTCAGCATGTCCCGCTCCTGAGACTGAAGAGGATAACCCTTGGCCGACCCTTAGCCACCCTCCCTGGCAGGCCAGGCCAGCAGCCCCACACAGAGCAGGCTGAACCCGTGCACCCCACTCCAAACGCCCAGGCAGTGGCCACGCCTGGTGGCCTGGCCCGAGGAGCCAGACCAGAGCTCTCCTGGGTGCCCGGGAAGTCCTCCCACTCGGCCGCTGCCCAGCAGCTCACCTGGCACACAGGGGCCACAGCTTCAACACCACTGCCTCCGGGGGCTGTTCCTCCACCGTGCTTCCCTGAGTAGGTCTAACCGTCCATCCGACACCAGCTCCTGACAATGGAGTAGGCTGAGGGGGACTTGGTGCCGACCAGCCATGACTTGGGTTGGCTACAAGAAGCATCATGTATTTACTCTTCATTCGTTCATGCATTCACTCAGGGACTTACTGCAGACCTGCCCCCGTCTACACACCCTGTTAGGCCCTGGAGACAGAGCAGTAAAAATAACACACGTAGTGTGAGCGTAGGTGAAGGGGGGACGCCAGTGTAAACCTGTGAATAAAACAGTATCTCATCACTCTGGTTCCACTCGGTGATCTGAGTATGGCAGGGGGCGGCGGGGGAAGGCCCCTGAGGAAAGGGCACCTTGAGCCGAAAACCGAATGAGGCAAGGAGCCGGCTCTGTCAAGACCAGTCCAAGCAGAGGGAACAGCAGGGGCAAAGGTCCAGAGGGAGAAACAAGCTCGTGGTGTCTGAAGAACAGAATGGAGCCCCGAAGCCGGGGACCAGGTCACACAGGATCTGGGTGCCGCTGCAGGCGAGGGGCAGGCCAGGGTCCAGTCTGCATGTTTGGAAGTTCCCAGCGGCCCCTGCCATTGGAGACATGGAGGAAGCAAGCAGGATGGGTCTGGTGGCTGTGGCAGGAGCTTAGGCAGAGAGAAGGGAGGCCCGGGCAGGGGAGTGGCTAAGGAGAGCTCAGAGAGGCACACTCAGGGGGTGTTTTAGAGGCAGAGACATCAGGGGGTGCTGAGGACCTGATGGTCCATGAGAGAAAGGCAGCATCTAAGGGACCCCAGGCGTCCAGGGCCGCTCAGCACTCTCTTCTGAAGTGGGTCCCACCTGGTGGGCCAGGGCCTTTCTGGGAGGGCCGACACTTGAACGGGCTCCTGAAGGGGCTGCTAGGGGGACTCGGCAAACTGTGGGCCGTGAGTCTGTGAGAGACTGGGGGCTCAGGCTTTTGTTGCCAGAGAAAGATCTGGGGCTTTCTGGAACGCTCTCCAGCCTTACCCTGCGGAGATGAGAAGGCCAGTCAAGGGAAGACTGTTTTATTCGAGCGTGTGCGGGTTGAGGACGGAGTGAATGGAAGGAACTGTGGGCGTTCTGATGTGCGTTGGAGACTCCAGGGGGGACTTCAATGGGCACTGTGTTGTGGTTTTCGCTGACGTTCGTGCTATTTGGGATCTTTTGGCTCCTTTGTACACACTGGCCCGACACCCTCAGATCTGAAAGCAGGTTGTTTGCACGGAAGGTTAAGACACACTGTCGTAAGATACTGAGCTGAAATAGTCACACACGCACACAGCCTACGACGGGAACTTGAGCTGTCACCGTCAGGGCTCTGTACCATTTGTAGATCTGTGTCAAACATCCCCTTAAAATACCTGGGTGTGGTGAGATCCTGCGTTCAGAGATAGAAAGCCCAAATTGAGGGACTTGCCCTCAGCTATGGACTAAAGCCAGGGCTGCTTCCACAGAGACTGCAACGCACTGGCAGAAGCGCGGGTGAAAACACATTGAATGTGTGGTTTGTGTGCCTATGAAGGGTCTCAAAAGTTTGTGGAAAATGTATATTGTGGAAAAACCTCTACAAGAATCCCAAATTTGTTTTGCACCAAAAAACACTTGCATTTTAATTCTATTCTCCATTTTTCTATGAACTTTTTGAGGTCCCGTGTGTGTGTGTGTGTGTGTGTGTGTATGTGTGTATACATGTGTATTTACAAATATACGCACCTTTGCAAAGGTTATATGCACATCTACCATCATTTCATGTCTTCATTAAATTGCCTAACTTTTCCTCTTTAAAAAATAATTAATAGGGACCAGCAGGTGGCGTGGTGCTTAAGCCGCTAGACATTTCCACATGGCTGACCATGGTTCGAGTCCTGGGTCTGGTGGCTTGCTTTCTCACTTTCCCTCTGTGTGTGTGTGTGTATGTGTGTATCTCTCTGGTCAAATTAAAATAAAATGAATGAATGAATAAAAGTAAATAAATAATTCTTTTAAAAAATTAATATAAATAAAATTCTGGTATGTTCTTTCCTATACCCCAGTGGATTTTCTTGTGTACTCCAGGGGGTGCTAAAAATCCCTCACCCACAATGTCTCCTGCAGAGACGGAGCTGGAGGACGCTCAGGGGGTTACATGGCCCTCTGTCCTTGGTCAGGCTGTCAGCGTAAGAAGCAACTTTCCCAAGGTCTTGGAGATCATGAGTAACCCAGGTCACCTTAGCCCACGTAAAGGCGACCCGGATGACAGCCGCACTGGCCCGCTGCCGGGCGCCAGGCCGGATCTTCCAGTGTCTGTTACCATCTTGCTCAAGTTAAGAGCTGGGAAAGCGAAGGAAGGACTTTCCTCCCACGAGAAGCCACTCCGAAAGGAGAAAGTTACAAAAGCCTGATCGGAAAGCTGCTCAGAGCTCAAGCAGTCCCAGGATGGGGTGGTCCCAGGGCACCCGCAACTATGACAAAGTTTCTTCAAAACAGTGAGACTCGGAGACCGCCAGGCCTGGAAACCTACGCCATGGAACTAGCTCAGAGGAGGGAAAAGTCTATACACAGAGTCATCCAAGCCTTCTTAACAAAAGACTGGAAACAACCTACTATTCCGCAATGAAAGAATGGCTACGAAAACAAGGAGCTATTGACTCGACAGTCAGGCAAGGCGGGACTGTGAAGACCGTGCCGCAACACGAAGGCTGTTCACCAGATGGCATGAAGTGGGAGGGGAGGGGAGAAAGGCAGAATGTACACTTGTTTACACGTCGCGGTCCCAACTCCACACAAATATGCGTTTGACTAAAAGGGCAGGCAGGGAAAAATTAAAAAGTTACGCTAGGCTTTAAAGGAAAACTGACTTTTTAGAAAAAAAAGTTTTCTTTATTGTGGCAATTCTATTTTAATAATAATAATAAAAATCCCAAAGCATCAAAGGCTTAAGGAAAAGATTTTAATTTCAAAAACAGTTGAAAGCTAGTTCTTAGGGCTTGACAGCTACAGTCCAGTAAAAGGTACTGCTGGGGGCTGGGTGACACTGGGTCTCCATCCACTCGCTCGCTTGCTCTCTCATCTGAAAAATCTCCCATTCCTGGGGGCCAGCAGGTGGTGTGGTGGTTAAGGGCATTGGACTCCCACATAGCTGACAGTGGTTTGAGTTCTGGACCTGGCAGCTTGCTTTCTCGCTTTCCCTCTCTCTCTCTCTCTCACTCTGTCCCTCTCTGGTCAAATAAATAAATAAATAAAATAAAGTTAAAAATAATTCTAAAAACTATGAGAAAATCTCCCATTCCTTCTGCATTCTTTCTCTTCCTCACTCTCAAGCTGGGCATGTTTACTAGGTGCTCATTTTACTCTTAATTGTTTGAGTGAAGAAAGTGAGCCATCTATGACAACCTGGTGTCAGGGGGTACAGGGAGGTTAGGACCCCTATCTCCTCCAACAGCTGCTTCCTGATGCCTGAGCCTCCCCAGCTGAGCAGGAGATGGATGATAACCATCCCTCCCACCTCACCGGAGACTGGCCTGTCTCCAGTGACATCGAAGCCCAAGTTGGAGGCGAGGCTCCCACGGAGCAGCGGGATCCCATCAGAGATATCCTGGGCAGGTGAAGGCTTTGCTCCTACCCCATCTACAGCCAGGGCTCAGCAAGATGGGTCACCGCAAGGGTGCAGGATAATAAGAAGGGCCGGAGGTCGCACAAGGTGAATCAGCGCCCGGGCGTTCCGGCTGACCCCACAGAAACAGTGCTACAACCAACTGTTCCCACCTAGGGGGACCTCTGCGTGCCAGGCATTGTAGTGAGGCAACATACATTTATGCCCCAGACTCTCAAAGCTAGCCTGCGAGGAGGGGGCCGTGACTACCTCCATTTTACTGAAAGGGAACCTGGACCTCAGATGGGGGGACTTTCCCCTGCTCACTGTCACAGCTTCTCAACAGTGACCTGAGCCCATGCCACGTGGACCGGGGGTGCACAGTGTTCTGTACAAGGTAATGCTGGCAGGCTTATGCATACGCCACGGCTGAGGGATAGGGACAGGTGGGATCGGGGAGCCTAAGAACCAAAGCTCACTTGAGGGACTCCCCCACTGGAGATCTGCCCCCAAGGATCCTCAGAGGGGATCCTCCTCACCCTAGG